AATTTGATTCCCATCTTAAACAGTTTAAAATATGTTGGAAGTCATTTTGCAGAAAATAAATAAAAAGTTTAAACATTAGTTTTACTTTCCAGACTTGCATCCAGAGTCTAAATGATATAGTAGTTTGCAGTAATAAATTTTCGAGAAATTTAAATGACGCCAGATGCAAAACATGTCTCAGTACTTGATCAGCTGTTTACTACATACTTATATTGATGTTGAGTTTGGAATGTCTTGCAGTCAGCAAGTAAAGTCCACAAAAAGCGTTTGGATGTGGTAAGTTATATTGTTCACACTGAAATTTAACTTGTATTGTTCCCTTGAGGAATATATGACCCGTTTCTTTATAAAATTCTTACTTAGATGCGTGCGTCAATGGAGCCTGTCCCATCTCAGACAAATGCAAATAATGCTAAGCTGATGTGCAGACAGGCGCCTGGCAACCCAGCTGGTCCAAGCCACATGATAAGACCTTCTCCANTCTCCAAGGTTGGAGCAGTTAGCTTCACAGTCTAATGTGCCACAGATGCTGCAGCCAACAAACAGGTTTTGATGGCCATCAATCAGTCTCTTGCCAAGTAAGAACAGGTTCTTAGTAAGAAATAAATTATGTTGTTATAAACTTAATGCCTTAATGAATATATCGTTTCATACTCATCTTTATGGACATTGCCATTATACGATGGCTCATAATGGTCAGTAATTCAAAGCTTCTCGACTTTCCTATCTTAAATGTTGTTTTGTTTTTTAGCTGCACTTTGTCTTCCATTTCTCTGCCACCAGTCACATGCTCCTCTCATTTCTTGAGGCTAGGACGAGTGGTTGCCCATTATTTTCTCCCATCCTTTTCACTTAACAGAAAATGCATTGGCACCCCATAAAATTATACAAGGGACTGTATGTACTTATTTTACTCTTTTTCTCTGGTTCTTTTCTTAATTAAACGTCATCTGTATTTTAGTAATCAAATCTGTCTATGCACTTTATATCTTAGTTCTCTCTCTTAATTTAGTATTATGAGCGACCTAAATAGGTTTGTTCATATAAATTTTATTTTATGCCTTATATACAGTAATGTAGCCTTGCATTTTTACTAAATTATAAAGTCACTTCAGCCATCTACTCAAATTAAATTTGCCATTGTACTACAACCTACAAATTGTTCTAAATGGAGTCACAAATGGTATACAATCAAATTTTTACTATAAATATTTGCACCCTTGTTAATTTCACGCTATAAAAATTTTCATCCAAGACTTGGTCCTTATTAGGTTGACCATGAAATCCTTATCAATCTTAATCTGGTTTTATCCATTTTTACCACATTCTCATGGTGGCCTGTTGTATATTTTAGCTGCAGATTCTGAGAAAACCTTGTATTTCGCCCTTAAACTATGAATCTCCATGTATTTTGCATGTACCTTATAGCATACGTCAATTTGTTGTCAGGCTTCATAAATCTAAGCAATTTATTCCTGGGACAGGTTAAATGGAGAATATTGTAGCTGTTCACCGGTTTGAAGGCCTGGGATTATTCAGTTGGCCCAGATAATCACTTTGAGAAAGGTTTTATGGAAATACTGTGACGTGCACATCCCTGTTGGATGAATAAGTTGGGAGTTTTTCTATATATATTTTTTTTCTACATTGAAATTGAAATATACCAGAATTAAGTATTTTTAACTCCTCATGTGAATGGTTTTGACTTGCAATGGGAATTTGGTATCCCCACCCTAGTATGTTTTATTTGCTGATAATTATTCAGCGAGTTTCTACGCATTTGAGATATCAACACTGCAGTGTGCAGGGGAAGTTCATTATAAAGAGTTTTTGAAGCCAATTTTTGAAACATTGGCTTTGACAGTGAGGCCTGTGTGTGCTAGCATAGAGGTATAAATAGGATTGGTTCACGTGGGCCGTGGGCCTTTACAGCTGAGTCCGGCCCATGCCTTTGCCCTGATCTCCATTCTCTTCTAGTATATTTTATATGCTGATAATGTTTGGTGAAATTCTATGCAACTTAATTGCCAACACTGCACGGGAAAATTTGTTATGAGTTTATGAATCCAATTTTTGAAACATTGCAGTAAAGTTGTCCCTGCATTCCTCTTCTGGTAAGTCTGGCCTGGCCTATCTGTAGAGGCAGGGCGAGCCACGTATTGACAGTCTGGCCGGACTCTGATATTACGAGTTCTGTGTACTGTTAGGCTGGTATCTTGGCCATGGTACTGCATTCTCTCGCAACATGGAGTAGTCACTTTTTGCAGTATTATGGATATAAAAATAATAGTCGAAATTGGATGCCATTATTTGTTACCCATATTGAAAATAAGATTGACTAATGATTTCTAAAGAACAGGGGTTACATATCTTTTCCAATTTCATTTAAGAGTTCTTATGTCTAATGTCATTTGAGACGCCAACAAATCAAGAACTTCATTGGCTGGTGAGGGTGAGATTATTTCTTGCCGAGAATTTTTTTTCCCTGGTATTAAGTTGCAATTGCATCGTGCACAATCTCAAGAACAGATGTTGTTGAGTGGAATAAAGATGAGGACTTCAATTTTGTCACACTCAGCAAAAACACTCCAATCAATACTTCCAGTTTGGAGGTTCTGCAACGTATCACATTCTGATGTAGCCGATCATGCAAGAAAAATCCCAGACTCTCGGAGAGCAATCCTTCCTGCATATGATGTGAGTAAATCACCATGGGAAGCCATGACAGGTTATTTTATGAATTGCAATTTCTTCCATATTGATAACACGGAGTTCATTTTCAGGTAAGTCGTTGGAAATTATGGTTGAGGTGCTCGAAGCATTTAAGCGAGCTATAAAGGTTTGTTTTATTGATTGATCTATATTTAGAACCACTGCATAGAAGCTTTTCTTCTTTTATTGTCAGTATAGGATGTGTGAAGAATATTATAAATTGTATATAATAAACTTGTTAATATTACAATGTAGAAGACCCTATTTTTAAGGTTACAAATAACTGTAGAAGGAAATTAACATAAAAGGAAAGATTACATAATCAACTACTAAGGAAAGTAAACCTACACTAA